GCAACAATCGATATTTATTCTTAATGGTTAGCTTGTTTAGCCAACGGTAATCTACACAAAGTCTAGAACTTTCGTCTTTTTCTTTCACCAGAAAGAGTGGTGCTCCCCAAGGTGACACTGTCGACTTGATCATCTTTTTCTGCAATAAATCCTCAATTTGGCCTTTCAGCTCCATCAGCTCTCTTGGTGTCATCCGATAAGGTACTATAGATATTGACTTAGCTCCAGGTACTAAGTCTATGCCATACTCTATCTCCTTGGTTGGAGATGTGCCAGGAACATCATCAGGAAAGATTTTGAGAAAATCTCGCACAACCTGTATAGACTGAAGTTCCTGCTTCCGCTCTATATTCATAACAGCTAAAAGAACAAAACATGATGCTCCCTCATCAAGAGTTGCCTCTACTTGGCGTTTAGAAATAATTTCTGGTAAGAATTGTTGTTCAGAAAAAACTAAACGTCGCTGGGTGCAATCAATTACAACCTAATTGGTAGTTAACCAATCCATGTCCAAAATTACATCCAAGCCCGACATAGGGATACTAATAATATTGATCATATACTCCTGTCCTTCAACTACTATAGGGCATCCAATACAAATTGTCAAGGTTGTTACTGAATTCAAAGTGGGTGTTGCCACCACCAAATCACATCTCAAGTCACTAACAGGCAATCCTAGATTTTTCAAACAAGCATCCGCAATAAAAGAGTGAGTGGTTCCAAAATCAAAAAGCACATAAAGGAATATACCTGCCACAACTCTTGTCCCTTGAACAAGGTCTGTAGCCTGAGCAACCTTTGTCCTAGAAGTAGTAAATACACGGGCCTCAGCTCTAGGCCTAGTCGTCTGTGGAGCACTAACTACTTTGGGTCTCATAGCATGTAAAGCACTAGTTGTGGATGATGCTGCTCTACTTTGAGAAGTAGGGCAATCCTTTACAAGATGTCCCAACTGTTGGCATGAAGAACAGACCCTAGTGTCAGCCTGTTGATATTGATTCAGATAGTGTGGTCCTTCACATATGAAGCATCTCACTGTCGTAAGAGTTGGAGCTCTAAAAGATGGTGTGCTTGCTCCCCTAGGCTGAAGAGTGGAGGTGACTGTTCCCACTGGTCTAAGAGTTGACAATATGATCTGCTATAAGGGCCTTTCCCAGTACCCTTATTTCCTTCATAACTACTGGCTTATCTGCTAGACTGAGCTTTTTCTACTCCACTAGCATCTTCTAAATTGAGACTCTCAATGATGGTGGCTTGATTCACCAAATCGGCAAACTTTGTGATTCTCAGCAGAATTAAAGTCCTTTTTATGTCAATTCTCAACCCATCAGAGAACCTTTGACATCTCCACTCCTCAGAAGTTGAATGCGAATAAAATCGGTAAAGCTGCTCAAACTGGATATTATATTCATATACAGATGAGTTCTCTTGCACCAAACTTAGGAACTCCCTTTCCCTCGCAACTCGGACGTGAGGTGGAAAGAACTTTCCCAGGAAGATATTCTTAAATATCTCCCACGTAATGGCCTCACCTCAAGCCTCTAATATAGTGCGTGCTCCCTGCCACTACATCTTCGCATCTCCTACCAGCATATATGCGACATAAATAACTTTTGTATCCTCAGCACACTTTGTGGTAACAAATATTTTTTCAATCTCTCGGATCTAGAGCTCAACTGCATCTGGTCTGTCAATTCCAGTGAACTGAGGGGGTTCACTTTTCCTAAACTCCGACAACCCCTAATACTCAGGTAGTACTGTTGCAATAGTAGCTATTGCTGCTGCCTGAGCTGCAGCTTGCTGTTGTTGAACCACATCTACACTCTGCTGTTCATAGCGTGAGTCGTCTGGTTCACATCATATGGAGGAGGATTTGAAGCAAGTCTCCTAGGTGATCTTGTCATCTTAACATAAAACAAAATCAACTTAGAATATGGGCTAAGAATAGACTGAACATGCTGCATTATTTGATTGAAGTTGTGTAAACTGTGTACTGATTGTTGATATGAGTTGTTTAGATAATTGTATCTATATTCATTCATACTCCACTATTAAGATTGTCAATTTTATAAGCTCACCCTTGCATTTTCGTTGTATTGGTATGTGTACTGCAATGATCGTACGATGATATATGAGCAGAAGGTACAGGTAATGCGTCTACTTCTCAAACTGGAAGGTCTGGTTGAGGGATGACGAAACTGACATTTTAGGAAATCGTGGTGTCAATTCCTTCTGTTAGTCTAGGATATAGAAATAGATCTAAACTGTTTTGCTATATTTTGCAATGAATGTAATTATTATTTGAAGAATTTATATTTTGAACTCCTTGTTGAATAGCAATGTAAATGTATAAATTTATGTAAATTTTGATATTGTATAAAAATGCATTTGAGGCTTGTTATTTAGTTAGATTGAATGTTGAAATTTTAATTTTTTTAAAATTTAGAGTCTTTTACTTATATAGATATTATCTCATAAATGAATAAGTGAATTAGAAATAGAAAGATATGATGTTATTGATTCTTTATAAAAAAGGGTCGTAAAATTTTCTCTATTTTCTTGACTTATTTTTGTGTATAGGCAGATGTTGAGCATAAAACTGGATTATTAGGCATGGTCATCTCTATGATTCTAAAATTTAGGTACTGAAATTACCACTGTCATCTTTAATGATCCATCATTAGTGTTTTGTCAAGCAAAGTCTTTGTATCAGGATATGCTAATTGAGGAGTAGCACATTTTTGCCGTACTCTCAACGTGGTGGACGAAGCGTTATGGAATGCAATTACAAAATTCGGTGTATACTTCTTTTTTTGTTCTCTATGTTTGCATAAACAAAAGAATTGTATAAAAAAGGGTATAGCTTTAGAATGTGTGGTCAGGTATTGAAGTTGTAGAATGGGTGCGATCATCACTATTCGTTATTGTTTTATTATATGCTACATGCGAAACTTACGGAAGTGTCATTTATTCTGGTCATTGCTACGTCACCATTATTAATAAGATGAATTTAAAATGAAATTGTATGCAGAACATGTCAAGTTGACGAGGGAAGAAGTAAAAAGCTGTTAAATTGCTAATTGCATCAAAGATACAACACAAACCCAGAATGCATTAAAAGCTGTTTATATAATGCCAAGCATGAATGGTGGAGTGCCCCCCAAGTTCTGTACAAGTTTTTAGAATTTGGTTTTGCTAAGTTATTGGTGCTGTAAGGATTTTATGGTATTATAAGGGTTGAATGCTTTATTTTTATTTTTTTCTAAGTAGTAATAACGATATTTTAACTATAATTTTACGAACTTTTTTCAAATCCTTTACTAGTAATTTAATACTAAGGGCTTAATAAAGTTTTTCATTTTAAATTTTAAGGATTTGACTCATTTAAAATATTAAATAAACTTTTGAGAATAAAATGCAATAATAGCTATCAATTAGAAAATGAATAGTTAAATTATGAAACATGTGTAAAATTAATTATAAAATTGCTATAGTTTTAGTTAATAATTTTATTATCAAAAGTTATTATTTCACATGTGAAGTGCGCCTACCCTTTAGAGAAGTAAAATTTATATTTTAAAATGTTCTTTTCATTTTAGAAAGGAAAAAAAAACTTGGATAAAATTTCTTGCATTGCAAGAAAAAAAATGCTCTTTTAAATTAAACAATGATAAATTTTATTATTTTTTTTGTAAAATTTTGCAGAACATATTTAATGATATTTATTTATTATTAGGAATAGCATTCACATGTCATCGTTTAAATGAAAAAAATATAAGAAATTTTAATCTATAATTTGTCATTTATAAATAAGTTTTCAAACATGTAACAGGAGTAAGAATTCCATTTGAAAGTGTGAACTCGACAAGGGGGAGAAATTTTCCAAGAAAACACCAAACAATGATGTCTTGCTGTCTTCTGCTCTTAGCAAATAAAGATTTTTGTTTTAAAAATAAAACCAACCACACGTGATGGTTTTTAAAGCAATCGGTGACTGCCCACAACCACAAAACCTGAAGACTTTTGCATTTCGGCATTTTTTTTAACATAAAAATAAATTTAGAAAATAGATTCAAAGTCAAGATCGCCCACATTTTCAGAGGAAATATGATCGCCATTGCGTTTGTTGACCCTAGTTCCTACTTGATTTATTTGACAGCTTAACAAATAACTGTAGAATGTGCAACCCTTTGCATTTTGTGAAATCATAATAAACATCTTAATTCCCTGAGAAAATCATATATATATATATATATATATAGGTCCTTAATGCAGTTTTTACAATAGGAAAAAAAAAACACTTGCTCTGCTTCAATTTTCTGGGAGAGTAGAAGACAACAAATCCAATGGACTAATGGGAAGTATGCAGCCCAATTCTCTTTGGACCACAACCATTCACCAAACTTGTTATGGATTCCTAATGACAACCATATTTATAAAACCCCACCAACCAAAGGCAAGAGACTATACTAGATAATTACAAGACATGAAAAAGCAAGACCTTATAACTTTGTGTGTGCATGGGTCCTCTCATCCATGTCCTCTTTTAGCCACCAAAATTATAAAGAGATAATTAGAATTCAGATTTTCTAAGTTAATATTTCACCCGCGCCAAGCCCAAACTAAAGTCTGAAAAATAATTAAAGAAGGAATACAAAAATACATAAACAAAAAGTCTACCCTTATCTTTGTTCCAAATTCCAACCGTGTCTTTTACGCTTGCAACGTCCAACCAACCAACAGCTATGTGCTTTTTATTTTTTCGTTTTTTAAATTAAGATCAACCGCTATCTACTTTAATTCGTTCACATTAGACATAAGATTGAAAGAACAAAGAAAGTGAAAAAAAAAAGAAAAAGATAACCAGGCGTAATCATCGATCACATCACAAATCACAGTATGATTCTCGATTCTCATTTCATTTTCCACAGATCAAACAATCATACCCAAAAATAATGCAAATTAAGATCAATCCTTTTCGTCGTTATCATATCATTATACCAACACCAAATTCTAGGTGTTGTGGAAAATTGAAAGAAAAAACAAAAATAGAAAAAAATAAACACATGACATGTACATAGTTTTAATTTGCTTGATGAATTGAATTTGAATCAAACTTTAAAGCACCAAGCATGGTGATGATGGAAACACTTCTCCCTGTCAATGATGCCTTGGACGGTACGGAACTGTTCCACGTGGCAGGGAATGGTAATGGGGCCTTTCTGATCAAACCCGTATTCCTCTTCAGCTTCTTTCAACAACTGCAAGAACAGTGGGTGGTTGATGTAGATCACAGGGATCACAAACCTTTGTTGCTCCTCTCCTTGGCCAACCAAGATTGCTAAACACCCTTTTGGGATGTCCTTCGGATCCTTCTTCTCATGGTGGTGATGAAAGTGGAGGTGAGGTATGTGCAGATGAAAGCTCATGTGGTGCTTATTATGGTTATGATTATGATGATGGTCACCAAGAATCCCCATTTTTAATTTAAAAGAAACGAACCCAAGAGAGCTAAAGGGAAAAGGAAACAGTGTACCAAACTTTAAGTATTGTTGAGAATAATAGGTTATGGAGATAAATTGTTGAGGGTTATAAGAAAACGAGTGAGAAAGGCCAGGGATCAGAGGCTGATATGGCAAGGTTGAAGAGGGTTAAGGAAGAGTCGGTGAGAGATCTTGGGATATTGCTCATGATAAATGGAAATCAAAGAATACCCACATAACAAAAAACGTATACAAAATTGAAGAATGAAGAGGATTTGCAAAGGGTGAGGTAGAGCTATATATATATATATATAGAGAGAGAGAGAGAGAGAGCAGGGTCAAGGTTACCAATATTGATGCTAATGTGAACGTGAATGGAAGGTGAGTGTTGTGGTGGGTCATGACATGATGCTTCTAGGGTTTGCTTACTGTGTACACAAAGATTTGTTAAGGAGAGAGAAAGACCCCAAAGCTTAGGAGAGTAATATATCTTTTTCTTTATTGATGATTGGAACAGTGTGGTGCCTTAATTTTATTGGAGAGTTATCTATCTAGCTAGTTAGGGTGAGGATATATTCTGTGTAATTAAAGTAAAAGCGAATTAATTTTTTTTTAATTTTGATTGACAGCTGGAAAATTGGATAGTTTGTATGGGAAGGGTAGCATGAAATTGCAGGATAAACGCATGGAAGAGTCATAAATTGAATAGAATAAGATTGAAATAAAATAAAATAGACTTGGTTTTTGACAAGGAGAGAAGACTTTGCACTAAAATATTGTGGATTACGCCACGCTCCACCTCACGTCACCCTTGTTACCGACGCTGGTGGACCCTTCCATCTTCTTCTAGCTAAGGACCCATTCTTCACTTTCTCTCTCTCTCTCTTTAATACAATGACAAAACAACAATATTATTAATAAAAGCATGTTTATCCTCAATTCAGTATATTATTTTTCTTTTTATCTTTCAATTAAATTGTATTATATTCTTTTTCAATGAAAACTGAAAAAATAAGTGAAAGTGGAAGATTTCAATCATTTAGTGAGAAAAAAAATGTCTGAAGAATATGGTTGAATTAAATTTTGCTGAATTCAAAACGATCAGTAGTTTTTTTAAAAAATTATTGAGATACGTTTTGTTTGGAAAATTAATCAGAATGCAATAATTATTTTATATGCGAGCCATCCATATATATGCGTTAACAAATACTCTATTGTATGATTATTTTAAATTAAAAGAAAATAAAAATAAACTTGAAAAGTTAAATATTTAAAATAAAAATTTTAATACTGAAAAATATTTTTAGTTTTCATATTTTTAATAATTTTTTTTAAGTTCCTTATAAAATATTTTGCTTTTAGTCCCTAATTGTTTTTATTTTTATTACTAATTTCATTTACTAGAAGGTCGTTAAATGTAATTTTTAGTTAAATTATACCGGCAAGATGAACTAAAAGTAATAATTTATTAAAATATTAAAATTAAAATTTAAAAAATCATTAAAAAATTTAAATAAAAATATAGAGACTAAAATTCAATTTTAAAATTTTAAAACATGTGTAATTAATTAAACTAAAATCTAAATGTATTAATTAAAATAAAAAAAATCGAAGTTTATAACTAGATCAAGTTAGGGTTAAATACTGGACCAAATCAAGTTATAAGATTTGTACATATTTATTATATTTGATAAACAGAACAGATAGTCGTGAAATAAGATTTTTTTAAGAATAAAAATAAACAAATACACATGTTTTTAAAATATTAAAAATCAAAATCAAAATAAAGAACAAAATATGTGAACAAATGGTTTGGTCGGATCAAATTCATTAATTTCATTGTAACATAAAAGAAAGTCATTAATTTCATGAATGCACAAATTGATAATCAACCTGATGTAATGATTGGGTTATTTTTTTTATCTGATTCAACTAGCTTATTCAAATTAACTTTTTTGGTTTGGATTTGGTCAAATTGTGTTGGATCTATTATTACTCTTAGCCTGAAAAGGCATTTTTCTTTTTAAAAAAAAAAAATCAAATTATCAAGTTCTGTAAGCTTTCAACATTATTTTCCCCCAAATTTCAACTGATTATTTTCATAAAATAATTACTTTCAAATTTAATCCTTTGTTTGCGACAAATATTGTTATTTATTCTGAAATATCAATCATTATACTTTTATTTATTAAATAAGAATACATTGTTTTGAAATAACCTTTATTATCCGTACATTTTTTAAAAGAACGAGTAAATGGCAGATTTTTTAATACTTTTATACACATATTTTTTTAATAGTTTTAAGTTTATTATTTTTCATATAATTTTTTATACTTTACATGAATTAATTGTGTACATGCTTCTTAAAAGTGTATACTTTTTATTTTAATTCATAATTTTTATAAATTAAAAGAAAAAGTTGTAATGTAGCGGATATGTGTTATTTCTAAAAGGAAAAGAAAAGGCAATTTTGTTAAGGATATCAACTGTGCATCATTTATTTATATATTTGATATTATTTATATGCTTTTTAAAATCAAATTGAAGTATTTAAAAATAATAAATTTATAAGAATGTGTTTATGCGTGTGTTGATGGCCACAGGAATTTCCTCTTTTGTCTTTTCAATCATTTTATTCGTGTGTCCTTTTTATCTTGAGATGATACATTATTTTCATTTTGCTTGTAATCTTGTTAGATATAAATCGTATTTAACGGGATTTGGTATATCACAATCCCCCCAATTAAAGGAAATCAACGTTTAATCAAGAACCTCCTTTTTTTGTTCTTCCGTACAAAACACTAATGTACTCTCCAACAACACATTTACCGTGAAAACCCTAAATTGATTTTTCCCTTAAAAAGCCTTTTAATCGTTTCATCAAATAATACCTATTTGTATATTAGACGCAAAAGTTTTGATTTAAATATTGTTAACACTAAAATTGGAATAGTCAACAAATGGGTTAGACGAATCAATTAATATACACAGTCAAGAAAAGAGATTTGATAACTAAGGAATTAAGGTAGCCTTGTTGTGTAAATTGCATAAAAATTTAATGGAGAGAAACGATGCTTTATTAAATACTAAATAGCAGCTAAGTTAAATCAAATGCAGTTAATTAAAAAGGTCACTCACACAAGATACTTTAAGAATAATACTCTTTGATTTCTTACCATAGCATAACTATTCCTCGATTCTTCAGATCATGATTTTAAAGAAGCAACAACCCTCGACTGTAAAAATATTTTGAAGAGTATTTTTAACAACAAGGTTTTAGAAATAATCTTAAACATAAATATTTTTTTTTATTATGTAAAATATTTTTATATTATATATTTATTTTTTTAATTCAACATTAATTTAAAGTTTATCAACCTTGAACCTTTATACATACTAATTCTTAAACAATAGTGTTTTTTTTATTTATCATTATTAACAAAAGTGTTTTTAAGATTATTCTTAAATCAAAATATTTTCATAAGTATTCTTAAAGAAAAGTTTTTTAGGAGATTTTCTTTTTCTTCATGTTAAGTGGTGTTTTTTTTTCATATTATATATTTACTTTTTAATTTAATATTAACTTTTAATTTTTCATAATTTTTTAATGTTATTTAATAATTGAATATTTAGTATTAATAGTTATGATATTTATTCCTTTAAATTTATGAAATGTTTTTTTTAAAAATAATCATATAATAAATTTTCAATTTTTATTTAAAAAATTAACTTAATTTAATGATACTCATATGCAGAAAAATTACTTACTATTCCCCTCGTAAGGATAAATCTAACTAAACTTAAGAAAAAATAAGAATAAAAGATACAGTCTGAGAATCAATTGATTTGAAAGAAGAAATCACACCGTTAGTTATTGTATTTAAAAGAAATTAACTACTTAATCTTTTTTTTATATATATAATTACAAGGTTAACATTAATAAGAGCATAGATTATATTTAAAGTTACAAGCAGAACAGTACAATTAACACCAACAATTAAGCAAACTCTATTTAAAGTCATAACCGATAGTTTTAAGGAAGTTTTATTCACATCAAAACAATTTCCCTAAACTATTTAATCTTATACCATAGTTGTTAACCCTACTTCTAAACTCTATAAAAGTGAGAGTGAAGCATGGTTGATAAATTTAGGATAAACAACTAATTGCATAGATATATAAATACCAATTGCACCATATTTTTATAGATATCCAAGGCAAAATCAAACATAAGTAACAAAGTTTCCGAATTTTAATTTTATTTTACTTTACGTTACTTGTCATTCTATAAAGCCTTTTCTTACCCTTTATTTGCAATTTTGCTTTACATCTTGTTAGATTAAAATAAGTTATCCATTAAGTTCTATTAAATAACAATTCTGAAAAACACGACTAAGAAAAGAGGTGGAGCCAGGGTACGCAAACTACCCATGAATTTCGGTGCGTAATCTCCTGATGATGAGTCCACTTTCATCAAAATCCAAAGTCTAATTTAGAAGCGTAAGTGGTGCCACATTTTGTTGCATAATTCTTGTGTCAACAAACATACTCAATTATTTTGTTCCATTGGCCAACATCTTCAATGTAAATGGGCTCCATTATTTGTTCACTGCTTCTTTGTTTAGCTCTCTTTGGTGCTGTTTTATTTCCCCTTTGACCAAAAATTTATGGGACCCCAATTTTTTCTTTCCTTGAAATCTGGAAAGTATTTTCATTTTTCTTTTCATCGTTCCTCGCCTTGGCCACAACTGAATTTAGTCAATTAGCAACACAATCAAAATTAGCAAAAATGTTCTTACATTTAAATATTTAATATAATAAAATCGTGTAACTTTAGAAATAAAATATTTAAAATTGTATACAATAGGATTCCTAATTCTGTGAGTTTATGGTTCTATTTGTATAGCAATTACAACTTCGTTTAATTTTAAACATCGAAAGTTTTCTTTCTCACGAAAGCTGCCTCATGATTTGTATAAACAGTTTTAATTATATACAGTGAGACACTATATTTCCCTAACCCTGCTACTAAGATATTCAGGAAGGTTAAATATTTAAATTATTGAATTTATGCAAAATAATCTACTTAACGTACATATACTTTTACTTAATTCTTCTTTTATTCTCCAA